ATTCGCTCTCCCAGCGCGAGAGGTGAGGCAGGGAGGGGTTTTTAAAAAAAGATCGAACGGGAAGGTGAGTCTGGACCTGGCCGCCGCGAGGGTTTAGTGAGGAACCTGGAGGAAGGAAAAGTGCCCTCGTGGCCGCCTCCCCAGGCCTTCACCAACCCTGACCCGGTGCCTCCGCGCGAGGCGTATCTCGCTTATAGCAAGTCCTAGCTTGAGAGAAAACAAAGATTGTTTTGACAGAGTGTGAGTACAGGTGTATCTCGGTGCTATGTGTTCTCCAAATGTTCGGATCGATACAACTTCACGTAGAGCTGGCTAGTTAAAGGAAGTTTACAGCTATTCCTTTTCAATAAGAAAATCCTTTTGTCCGGAAAAAAAATCACCATCGGTGTCTATTAAGTCTGTTCACCTGCTTTTTAAAAGCTAATACATGCAACAATGTTCTTACACCAACCAAAACTTGTGAAATAGATCCACAAATATCCTAGTGTCCAAATTAAAAATACAAGTTTGCAGCTTTTAAACATAAAGTTAACTCTTAATTTTAATTCAAATAGTGGGCTGAGAAACAACTGAAAATGAGAGGCAAGTGTAATTTGGAAATACCAACTCTCCAAAATATTAAATCACACGCAGCTCATGTTGCTGTGTATTAATTGACTTAGTAATCGCTGAAATCAATGTTATCACCATCTGTGATTTCAGAGCTACAATGTTTAGACTATATCGAAAAGGGCCTTTTAGCTATGCAGATATACTGACATCTGCACTTAGTAGGTACTCATATATTTAAGTGTTTGCTGAATAAATGCTTACTTAGTAAAACAATGTTAGCCCTAAGTTATTTATAACTATATTTCCGTGTTGTGTTGTTTGCATCAAAGGCTCAGGCCAAATTTGCTTTAATCTATACTACCGTTATTACTACCTAGTCTTTTTGCCTCCTGAAATGATTTTACATGCATCTGTATTTGCAGAAATCTCACTGGTTCTTTATATTCACCTGCCTACTTCATTATGAAGTTATCTCCAAACTCCCAGATGAGTATGATCTCAAATTCTTCCAAACTCCAGCAATTCTCCTACCCAGCACCACAAAACAAACCTCAGTACTACCCAGTCAGTATCTTTAAGAATTTTTTGTTTATTTTATACAATTTGTGTGCATGCCCTAGCTCCCTTATAAGAAAATTTTAAAACTCTATAAGGCAGACTAATTCTATTTGACTTGTATTCTCCACAGAATATAAGTACAATATATTGTATGTGATGAACATGTATTTTATTTTTATATTTTTTGGTACTGGGAATCAAACTTGGGACCTTGCGCTTGGGAGGCAGGTGGCAGAACCACTGAGCTAAATCCCTGGCCCTTGAATATGTATTTTAATATCATTTCTAATTTAGAGAAAACAAGTGGCTTTAATTTCCAGTCTGTTGCATAGCTATCCACTAGACCCTACTAGATGAGTGTTTTTTAAGTTCTTTCAGTAAGTAATAAATGGTTGAATAATCTTACTTATCTGTGAAAATATTGATATGTTACATTATAATATGCATACATTAATGTTTACAGTTCTACAATAATTTCAGTATGCAAAGATATTTAAAGACTAGTCAAGGAATAAAATTGTTTCTCAGTGAAATATTCTGACAGGAAGTGACTGATAGCACAGCTGCAAGTAATGGTGTCTATAAACCCAATTTGATCTCTATCTTAGAAATTGTGTCTGTTCCTACTCTCTTTTGCAAAATCTTTGTACTATTTATAGTTAACAGATTTAACAACAGCATAAACTACACATACAGATATATGTATAAAATATTTATATATGAATAGGTTTAGGTTGAATTTCATCTTTAATTCAACTTTCAACTGGTTCAGCAGTTTTGAAACATTGTCCAACATAAAATACTGCACATTGTTCTAGGAATTACTTAGAATTAAGTCTAATGAAGCACACCACAGCTGAGCTTAATGTTGCTTTAAAGTTGACAATGTTCTATCCCATGAATTCATAATTTTAGGTATTGTTTTGTGGCACAGAAATTAATAAGGCAGTCACATCCATCAGACACTATATAATGACCTTGAAATATAAATTCTTTTCTATATGTGTATTATACTTCAGTAGTTTGTAAAATTAATCCTAAGAACACAGTGACCACAGAACTTATACAATTCAGAAAATACATAACAAGATATGAACAGAAGCTATACTTTGTAAAATCTTTTTCATGTTTTAACAATATAGCTCCTCTCAATTTTCACATCTTTCTAATTGGCAGATGGTGGCAGTACATCTTCCAGGGTTTATACTTGTTTCTCAGTAACTTGGAAATTATTTTGATGCTCTGTAAATTAACAGCTATGTGTTGGCACTGTCACAAAAGATATAACAACTATGGGATAATAGGGCTCCAGTAAGACAGGGAGCCAAACAGGGATGGGGGAGTACTGACTCAGTCAGTGAGAAGGGAAAAAGAGTAGGGCAGGTTGAGACATAGGGCTAAGTGTAACAGTAGTAGAGGGGAAGTATCTATGTATGATGCTCTTATTCTGATCATTTTAGAATGTGTTCATGTCTCCCTGGTGCTCAGTCTGCCATCATACTCTTAGTGGAACCAAAGGCAAGTTTAACCCTGGCATTTGCCCAGTTCTCTCTCCCTGAACTGCCTCCCAGGAATCCTGTAGAGCATCCCTGCCTAGTACGCCATACTGCTCCATCAGTATTCTGGATAAAATTCTTCGGCCTAAAGCTAATCTCATATAACTGCTCTGAGAATCATGGATGGCATGTTTGTGATTCAGCAGCTTTTACTGTTTCATAATTAACAGTACATGGCAATTTACAACATTCTTTATTTCATCCTCACCCCAGCCAAAGTCATAGAAAAGAGCCTTTTGCTAAATATGCATGTATTGGGTAATATTTCTAACATGTATTTCTAGAAACGTAATAGTGTTTTAGAATATTCACTGATATTTCAGACTGTGTGTGTGTGTGTGTGTGTGTACTACATGATCTGCAGAGTCACTTTCTTGAGTTCATTTTTAAGAAGAATTAACCCTGTTAGATTGCTCCCAAAGCCACTACACCCCTGTGGCATTTTTTTGAACAGAAATAGAGATGAGATACTTACTGAAAGGGAATAGTGACGCTCAACAACTAGGCCACACACACACCCCGAGAGGTCCCACTGGAGATTTTATTCAAGGGGTGGGAGGAGAGAGAGAAGACAGGAAGAGAAGAGAGGAACAAAGAAAGGAAGGTCCTTTTATCAGTTTTGGGCTAGGCTATTGATTATTAATGAGGAGTGAGCTACTTCTAACCTATCACAGGCCTGGTTGCTTTTATGGGTCCAACCCTACAGACACAGGTTTCAACTTCTCAGTCTCACTGTGGCCTTGGTGGGAAGGAAAGTAAAGATAAGAGCATGAAGTCATTCTAAGAGCCAAGAAGCACCAGGAAAATGCAGCCTGTGATGGCAGCGTCACAGCATACTTTAACATGACCAATTCCCTAACACTATAATAGTACTTACACTGACTTGAACCTTCATTTTATAAATAATTTAGCTGATCACCTTTCAGAAAACTTTAATATTTTATGAACTTTGTGAAATGCAGCTAAACATTAGGAAGGTGCTTGGTGAACACTTGAATTCTCAGTGCATTTCTTTTTGAGCCTTTTAGAACTAATATTTAATTGTAAATCTGTTTGCACTAAACCACAGTGAAGAACTACATCCTAAAAACATGTAATCTGATTTTAAAAATAAGACAAGCTACAGTAAGTACTTGTAAAGGCAAACTATATGTCCTTTGTGGCCTGAAGCTCACAGATAAGCCTCTTTCCAAGTGAACAGATGGTACGTAAAGGGACATTTCAGCTCACCTTTCCTAAATGACTAAACTTCCATTTAGTCAAATAATTGATGGTAGAAAGTCATTGTTTTCAAGGTTGTCATCTAATTTAAAAAAAAAAAAATCACCATTTTGCACTCTAATGAAATAACTGATTTAATAGTAGGTCTAGACAAAAATCACTAGTGGCTACTGTCACAAAGAGAGGATACCTAACATAATGACTTATGATCGTTACTACCTGTAATTGTATTCATTTTAGTTTTTTTTACCAAAACTGAAACCATGTGTGATCAACTTGAAGATTTAATGCCCACTTTCCAGGAGTTATGTAGAACAGAGGAGTGTTTTAATAACAGTCAGCCAAGTCCATACTGTGAGAAACTATGGAAAAAGGACTCATTTCTTTAACATATTATTCAATTGAAGTTTATAGCCTTTATTTTCAGCCTGATCTAAATAAACATCAGTTTAAGAATTATGCACCAATCCGAAGATTTGAACACTGAATAGATACTTGATACTGAAGAATTATTCTAATTTTAGATGGGGTTTTTTAAAAGTCATCTTTTAGAAATAAATATCGATGATGTAATATTAATTCAAATTTTATTTCAAAATGAGGGAGACCAGGGATGTAGAATTATTTTTAAAAATTCTTGTATATATTGAAATTTTCATATATATTTGGGGGGGGGTACCAGGGATTAGTACCTTGTGCTTGTGAGGCCAGCAGCAGCACCACTGAGCTAAATCCCCGGCCCTCCATAATATATTTTTTAAGTTTCGATAGGTGTGATTTTTTTTTTTTTTTTTTTTTTTTTTGGTTTATTGAGAAAGGGTCTCACTATGTAGTTTTTTTTTTTTTTTTTTTTTTTTTTTTTTGGCTTTCTATGGCAAGATCTCACTCTAGTCCAGGCTGACTTTGAACTCATTAGGTAGTTTAAGGTGACCTTGAGTTCATCACTGTTCTGCCTCAGCCTCTGGAGTGCTGGGATTACAGGTATTACCCACCATGCCTAGCTTCTGATAGTTAATTTTGACTGTCAACATGATTGGTTTGAGAGATACCTAGGAGATTAATAAACTTCTAGATGTGTCTGGATGAATTATCAGGGTGTGACCTTGGGGATTATATCTGATCCCTGGCCCTTTCTATTCTTCACGTATTCTCTGCTTCCTGGATGCCACAGGTTGAGCAGCTTTCCTCTGTCATGTCCTTCCACTATGACATTTCTGCCTTGAAGCCAGCCAGTTTCCCATGGACTGAAACCTCTGAAACCATAAGCCAAAATAAGCCTTTCTCCATCGAATTATATGTATTAGGTATTTTGTCCTAGAAACAGAAAGCTAACTCATACAGCAGGAGTTAATCATTAACAATAGGTCCAAGAAACTCTTTAAAGCAACACAACTTTGAAAGCACTCTGTTAGCTACTGTTCTCCTGTTGCTGAGACAGAGTACTGGGCCCCAAAGTTAAAGGTGAAAGGATTTATTTAGTTCAGTTTGTAGAGGCTTCAGTCCATAATTGGCTGGGTCCAAGGCAGAGTGGCACATGACAGAGGAGTGTCACAGAGGAGAAATAGTTCATGGCACCCACACAATAGCATAGGCAACAAGAGAACCTTAACAGTGTCTTTCTGCCCTTTTATACACTAGACTATTAGGATTATGATGGTGCCAAACCAATCAGTGTACTGGTCTAGTAATCACATGCCCTTGATCCCAGCATCACACACTCAATATTCAGCCGCCTCTGAAAAAGCTACCTATGACCACATGAGGCTTTGAGGGGACATCTAGACCCAGTCCATAACAGGCTCCAGATGCAGAGATGGGATGAGTGTGTTGAAATATAGGTCCAAGAACCATAATCCCTATCCAGACCTGAGGTAGTATAATGAATATGACTGGGGATGACACAAAACTAGTTCAAATCTGAATGTTATATACCCGAAAACCACTGATCACAAAAGTTATCTATCAATCATCTGTGCCGATTTCAGACCATTATCTTCCCTCCAACAAAGACATAGCTCTACTGAGGGCATCTGAAATGAACAGACACTTCTCAGACGAAGTAAAAGCAGCAAATAAATGAAAAATATTCAGCATCACTGGTCATTTGAGCCTGCTATCAAGAAATCAAACAATAACATGTTGGCAGGGTTGTGGGGAGAAAGGAACCCTTTTCCGTTGTTGGTGGGACTGCATATTAGTGCAGCCACTATGGAGATACCTCAACCAACT